CAGCGTGAAAGCCCGGCAAGTCTCAGAGCCTGGGGGCTGAGGGCTGAAGGTAGATTGGAAGTTGGCCTGCCTAGACCCTCCTCCTACCCTCTATTAGGGCTTACGTACCCGCTATTAGGGACCATATACCCCCAATTAAGGGTACAAGGAGGGTCCTGGAGGAGAATGCCTAACCATGTTTTGTGGGGGATTAAGCGAAAACACCCCTCAACCTGGGAATATAAGGGTGTTATATGGGGATCATGTTGAGGGCTATATAGGGGTTGTACAAGGAATATCAGGATCTCATAGGGATAGTGTAGACTTCCCTGCCCCCCTATGGCTCAAACCCTCAAATCTAACACTGCTCACTGCTTGGACTTTTACTGACCTTGGTCGGGCTCTGCGTACGGGAAACCTCCCATTTAGGGATCAGGGCTGGGACCCATCTCGGGACACAATGCTGCAAATGAGTGTAGGTCTAGGCTTTCCGAACTATCAATGCGACTAGCTTCTAGAAATCATCCGCTACCCCTCTGCAATCACTATGCAGGAGTCAAGGTGTCCTTGGCATGATCTGAGATCCAAGGTCTCTACAAGAATCTAGAACGCCTAAAATAGTCACTTAAGCTAAGGGTAGAGGGGAGTCATTGCAAGGATAAGATAATTGCCGACCCTTGATCTTCATTCAGCATAGCCAATGACTAAGTATCAGCAACATCAATTGCATTCTCGGCTCTACATCTTTAAGCTGGGAAGAGAAACAACTCTTTTCAGAAGTACCTATGACTCTATCCTTCCCTATCATCCTTTGCAACTTGTTCATTGCGTCTCTCTCCATCTCCCTCTCCCTCTGTCCGTCTCCCCCTCTCTCCTTTCCCCCTCTCCCCCTCTACCCTCTTTCGCTCTCCCAGTCGCCCTCTCCCTCCATGTCGCGCTCTCTCTCTCTATCCCTCTCTCTCTCTCTCTCTCACTTTCTCCCCGCTCTTCCTTTCTGTGCAAGCATTGCATGATTCATTCCTCTACAACTCACATCAACCCACCTAATCCCTGCATAAAAAGTCTACCATGAATACCTTCTCCTGCCGGTGTTCGTTCTGTCTTGACAAACCGGATATCCAGTGTTTAGGGGAGCTCAGTAAGACCGACCAGATTATGGGACCAGCCAGGCCTACTAAGGAACTCGTAGCGCAAGGCTTACGGGGGCATGACGGCGCATTGGTGTTGGGTATTTCATACCCCGGTCAGAACCTGGAATGAGCAATTTTTAGGATTACTTTTTGTGAGGCCACCATGTGAGGTGAGGTCATGAAAGCTTACCCAGTTACTAGGATCTATGAAGCCTAGACTAACTCTACGGCAGCTCTTGCGCCTTGCCAGTGCCTTAGGCACTACAGCCGCAAAAGCTTGATGCCAGCTGGCGAAACTGAAAAAAGTTGGTTGGGCTTGTGTACCCGGTGCCTTCTTTGTAGTTGTAGTGCCTTTTTGGGGTCGTATATTATACCCCTTAATGGAACCATAGTGAACCAAAAATGAACTACATAGAAGCACGTTGGGTAAAGACTTGACGCTTCCATTTTTCAACCTTGCTGGAAGCATGCATTGGGCACTGTTGCAGGGGTTTCTTGCAAGGAGTGAATGTAAGAAGACCATTGAGATGACCTAGGACTTCCTAAATTCTAAGGTATGCTGTTGCCCCTTACACAGGGTTTAAAGACAAAGAGGGGCTTGGGACCTCTTCCTGCAAGCCCCTGAAAAGCCCTTCCCAGCTCAAAACTCACTCAAGCTTAGTTTCGAATGTGGGAGTATCCCCATAGCAATGTCTGTAAAGTTTAATCCACATAGCAATCCCGGTATGGTCACCATGCCTTACTGAACATGAGTAAGACAACAGGATAGCTTCGACAACCACCAGCTCGCTGTCAGTTACCATGTTCCCAGGAGATCCGGTACAAGTCAGCAGAGGATAGCTGTAGCCCCAGGCTTTCCGAATGCTTCCTGGCAATGCTGCTTCCGGGAATTTCGTAAGCTCAAGGACGTGTGCAGCTAGGCTTCTCGTCCCAGGGCCAAGGGTTCAAGGTTTAGGCTGTGGGTTTATTAGGCTCTGGTGTCCTGTCATTCGCTCAGTTCTTGCTATTCATAGGCGAAGGTTTCAATTTCAGCCTCCCTTCTTATTAGGGTCTGGGGTTTAGGGTTGCCAACTGCAGATAGAAAGATGATGTGGTAGCTTGACTTTCCAAGCCCACCATGTGCAACCACCATGCTGTATGGACCACGTTTTAGGGTTGAGGGCTCACCACTGCTGGTTTGGAAGGGTAAAGGCAGTCACAGGACTACATATTCCCAGTTTCCATGTCATGTTGATGTCCAGTCTCCACTTGATTCTCCAGTTCTCATTACTACTATGCCTAACATCCAAAGCTGACCAAGTGTGACTTCCCTGCTTGCTTTGCAACATGTTCTACATGTTGCTGTACTGCAATCGACAAAGCAGACATCTACATCTTGCGCCTAGCTTCAGGACCCAAATCTGAACAAGACGGTAATGATCCTAGACTGGATGCGCTTCACTGCCGTCGTGAATGTGAATATTTATAGCGCATGCGCAAAAATCATGCTGCGCATTCAAAATAAACATTTCCTGTGCTGAACATGTAGGCAGAAGTGTGCTAAAAGGCAGGTTTAGGGGCCTCAGGTTCAGGGCTAATCCCCGATGAAAAATGCTTCTCCCGGAGCCCCGATAGAATCATACTTAGCCTGGCTTTACAAGAAAGGGTTCAGCAAAAATCAGGCCGTTTAGCGTAGATCCAAAAAGCTAACCCTCCCCCAAGCCTGAATCTTTAACGCCTAAATCCAAATAGTTCCCATCCAGATACGTCGGGGTCGACATAGTTCGAACACCCAGGCCCCCCAGTTAATCCCAAATCTTGATGACTTGAGTACCCTTGATTCTTATTGGGGACTTCTTGAAAGGGTTCCCTAAGATTTTGAAACCCCCGTTTGGGCAGTTTGGATACTTGGACTCTGGGGACTCCGTGCCTGTGGAACATGATCGCCACGCGTTGCTTGGTGATGCCATCTAGCTTGATCAGCAGGTCGGTCTCCGGCGCCAATCCTCACAAAGAGGTTCGTGGGACTTAGCACGCTATAGTGTAAACTCCTTGAAAAGGGTGATATATAGGGGACTACTATAGGGGTTACAAGGGGGGATACTAGGAGTGTAGAGTATTGCTCATATAACTGGGGTGCTACAACAGATTATATCTTGGGTAAACTTCGAAACGCTGGTACAGTGGGTTAAGAGTGGTTCTGCACCCAGTAACCCTTTTGGCGACCGTGTTTTGTCGGGGGCGAACTGTGAAAGATCCCCTTCTTCTTGCAAGATCTTATAACAGAGCTGTAATATCATCATTGTACTCTCTGTTTGTTGGGGTTGTGTAGTTACCCTTTCTTTTTGAACCACTTGTCAGGGGGATCTGTCAGGCCGGGCATGCCGAATGCGGTTGAGGGTTTAGGGTCGACAGAGTTCTACTCCTGAGCAAATGAGATGAGCCCTAGAACTGTGGATACAGTAGTAGCAGCACGAACTACCAACCTTGTTGCTGCTACTGGTACTGCTGGGCTTACGGCAACTAAGGACACAAGTGCTAGGACCACACCCCTGGCCACTGCCTTCACCACCGCTCACGCCCTGCCCTTGCCCCCGCCGCCCCGGCCGCCGCCGTCACTCTGCAACAACATCCCATCTGTCACTCTACTCTTTAGCAGCTCTAGGTATTCTTTGGAAGAAAGCCTACAGGCAAGGACTAGATTCTGGAAACAGTAACCAAGGATTACGGATGCCTTCGGTATCCATTGTATTTATGCAAGCTGGTCCTGAGAGGTCAGTCAAACAGTCCTCAAGCGCACGGGCTTTGCTGTTCTTCTGGAACCAAGCCTGAACCTGGATTACTCTGGGTCTTCCCAGCCTTTGGGGTTTATGGCTGCTTTAAACGTCTTGTAGGCCCTAAACCCTAAACCCTTACATGCAAAATCAGACTTGTTTGGTGGCACTCAACTTGGGTTATTGTTCTGCGGTTGCACTGGTCTACACACCCTCTAGAACCAAGGTTTAACGATATGTGCAAAGCCCTTCACCCTAGAAGTATCATATACTCTCCCAAATGTTAGTAACCATCATACTGTTACCATGACCCCAATGTATGTACGTATTGTGTTATGGACCCTTACACTAAGGGTCCAAGGACCCAAATAACAAGGCTTGAGGGCCCAAGTAGTCTAATATTAATGGTATTTGGGCCCTAAATCCCTATCATGTGGGTCCTTGAACCCTCAGGATTAGGGTTCTTACTGTCCGGGCAACATCCTCCTCCACCTGGGCATCTGTAAGGTGCAGCTCCTCGTACCTGGGCTGTCGTTTCCTAGAGCGCCTGATGGTTTAGGGTCCCATTAAAAGGGGTTATAGGGATTGACTGGGGGGGAGGGAGAGAGAGAGAGAGAGAGATATATATATATATATACACATACAATGGTGCTTGGGGCTCAGGAATGGAGAATGAATAGGATGCAAAATGAAGGGTAATCTGGGATCATGTAAGGCTGGCACAGAATTTGATACTGATTGACCGCGAGGAGGCTCTAGCCTAAACGTTAAGCTTTCTTCTAATAGATGTGGTTCCGCATCAGCTTTGTGAGCAAGGGTAAGGTTTACAGGGTGCGTGGCGTCTGGCTTCATGGTATGCTCGAGGATTGTTCATTTGCTAGATAAACTTGCGGGTGATCCACCCTTTGCATGCTTTAAGGAGCTTGATGTCTTTCCAGAAATGTGTCCCTCTTTGGAGGGCGGTTTGACACTGCGAGTTTAGAGAGAGCAGCAGCTACAAGCTTTGATGCATTCTCCTCCCTGAAAAAGAAGCCCCTCGCCCTTAATGGTGAAGAATTTTTTGTAGCATTAGGAAGGTGGGAAGGGGTATGTTATCAGGCAAGGGATGAAGGGTTCTGCCGCCCAAGCAAACACCTTCCTAACCACGATCGAATAACTCATTGATGCCATTGTGTGTTTGAATGCAGCAGCGAACGAAGAAGTCACAAGTGGTGGCAACCAGCGTTGCGGCACAGAGCATGAGGATGGCCAGTATTATGAGCCCACCGAGCGTCTTCATCGTCACGAGATATCGGATGGCAGACGCAAACGCGTACAGGAAGCCCACCATGAAAAACAGGTAGGGAACCCGGGTAAAGTTGCCAACTCTCCTCATAAACTCTTGGCACCCTAGTTCTGTCTGCACTTCCCCAACACATAGCAGCATGATAACCGTCGTGATCGTGGAGCATAGAAATCCCACGAAGCCGATCAAGTAGAAGATCATGGCGACCTGGAAGTGACCCTGGACTGCAAACTCCCCAAAAGGGTCCATGTACGTACATAGTATAGGGTTCCGATATATAGCTACTTTACAACGAAGATACATGGTCCCCCTTATGGCTTCGGGTATATTACAATAGGGTGCTCATATACCCCATATTCTCCCCATATTCTATCTACTTAAGGAGGACTATATACCCTGTAGCTACATGGACCCTCCGCAATTCAGCCGAGACCCCCAAACCTGCACTTCTGAGCCCATTCTTCAAACCCCGGATCCTGAAGACCTACACCACATGAGCTATAGTCTAAACTCCGAGTATCTGCCTTAATAAGGCCTATAATACTCACCTATATAATCCTCTATATAACCCCCCCTAAAGGAGTTAAGAGTATAGCCCATATGACCCCATGCAAGCCGTGGCCACATCGTTCAAGGTGGCCGCCGCGTGCTGCACAGTCTCCTCACCCAGCTTCTGACCAATGAAGCCATCCAGAAAGGTGAAGCCGCTACCCTGAAATTCCTCCTCCAGCCTAGTTCATGTCATGCGCAGGGTTTTAGATTTAGGGTAGATAGGGTGTAGGGTATAGGGTAGTGAGCTGTGTCTTTAAATTCGTGGTTCTTCTTTTGGATGATCTCTACGATGGGGCGCCTGCCATCTGTCTTTGGAAGAAACGGAGGGGTCGAGGCATCTGAATTTTCAGAACCTCCTCTTGGACGATCCCTTGACTTAGTAAGTCTACTTAGCAAGTTGGGTCACAGGGCTTACAATCCAGGGTTTCAGGCTTGTACCCCTAGAGTTGTACCCCTGGGTTCTCGGATCCTTTTAATATTAGGGCTATATTGGGGAAACCTTTTAGGGGTAGGACCTTAGGGGTACAACCTCGGAACCCTTGGTATAACAGGGGTTATTTGGCATAGTAGGCAGACTTTAGGTGGACCCCCACCCTGTAATAGTGGCTATAAGGGATAATAAGGATTATATTTGGGTCCTCTTATATTCCTATTATACCACTATTACAGGGTGGGGGGTCCTCCTAAGGTAGACTTACTAAGTCAAACGATCCTCCAAGCTCCCAGTCTTGGCAAAACCATGAAGGGACTCTAGCAAAACTATTGGGAAGTGTATTTTTTGGTGGTTGAACCCAGTAAGATAATATTCCTTATATAAAATCCTATACCCCCAAAAGAGGATGGAATCTTACTCTATATTGGGTACCATAATATCCCCAAATGAAATACTACTCTATTGGGAAGATCTACTCCAACCTTAGGTCAGTCCACCCTACAGAAATAGCCCCTAAATATGGAGTTAATAGGCCTCAATATACCTACAATAGTCTCTGGTGGTACCCGTTACTGGGTGGGGGATTGACCTAATTCCAACCCATATATCCATATACTCTGAACCCTCGCTTAACCCTGCGAATCAACCAGCACCCTACAAATGGCCCGATCTTACAAACATCCTTCATGCTGTTGATGGAGGTAATCTTGCGCCCCTTAAGTTAGGGCCCCGAGGTTGTGCCAACTTTCGTCCATCAACAGTACAGGGGCTTTCAAGCTGGGGTGCCATTAGGCACTATACAGTTTTCTGGGTTCGACGGGGTGATCCAAAGGGCCCGTACAGGAGTACAAAACGTTCACGTTGACAATATCAGAATATCCCATATGGAAAGCCAGGTATGGGTTGAAATTACCCACGGGCAGCCCAGATGCCAATCTGCGACGTTTTCATAGGACATAGGGACCACGATGGTAAGCATGAGGGCGCTGATCAGGCCAATGTTTGTACACTCGCTCACCAGGTTGTCTTTGGCCTGCTTCTTGCAGGTTCTCCTCTTACAACGGGTACAACGGGGACCCACCCATGTCCAACTCTTCATGGATATACACACTGACATATACTCCTATGTTGTATACAGACTTCTCTGCATATATGATCATATATGTACATGTATCTGTACATATATATATAATGTATTTTTCAACAAGAAAAACGTGGGACTCCTAGGACAAGTTCCAGTTGCAAGCCCGCAAACAGAACCCAACTGTGTCAATGTCAAAGGTTTGGTCAGAGATCCTTCCACAGGAGCTGGCGAGGTCTACATTAAGAAGGCTCCGGTTTTTGCCGGTGATCCCATCAAGGGATAGCCACATCAACCCTAAACCCTAAACCCCTAAACCCCTAAACCCTAAAGTCTAAGCCCTAAGGGGCCTGTGTCTGAGTTCCAGGACGAATGGTCGAATCTGCCAGGGTGAGAAATCCTGGTGCTGATAGGAGAAGAGCAGAGAGGAGTAGGTTTCAGGGCTTCTTGCGACGTCAAGGTTCATCGCTTTGGGATCTTTAGGATTTGGCGGGTGGTTCCAGGGCTTTGCAATTTAACAAGTTCAGGCTCAGGGGATGTTCCTGCTGCGGCTTTAGACCAAGTCGGGGCCTTGCCATATCCTTGGAAGTGGCCTGCATCTAGACTCTAGACATATTGGTGCTTACCTGCAAGCTCGCAACAAATTGTCGATTACGCGAACACAGAAACACATTAACGATGTTTTTCTTTGTTCTGATGTACTCATTCAATCAACATGTCACCCGCAACCTAACTGCAGCAAAACGTGTTGCAGGGCAAGACCCTTCCAATCCCGCAAAAGCTGGAGACGCTTCCACATCAAGCCAAACCTCCAACAAGCACGCTTGCTGAAATTCACAACCTCCTTGCCTTCTTGGAGGTTCATGGGCACATGTTGGTGCTTCATCTGTAAATATATACATGCATAAACTTTGCGTGCCGTTTTGCCGCTTATATCCCATCTCGTAACTGCGTATGAGCCTCCAGGTGAGTAGCGTTTTTTTGGTGGTTAAACCCAGTAAGATTCTATTCCTTATATAAAATACTATACCCCAAAAGGAGGATATAATCTTACTCTATATTTCAGAGCAACTGCCAGGCATTTAACCCCTGGAATGCATCTTTGAGAAAAAAATTGGACCACCTTGCGAGCCTGACGCAACAGATAGAAACTTGCCCTGGACTCCAGGTCAGAGTGGCATGCTTAGCAGTTTTGTGCGGCTGTACCTGAATCTCTCCGAAGAAGACGGATGGTGTGCTCGGCAAAAGCTATGTCTTAATGCACGGCGGTGTGCAACGCCGA